TTTATCTATAGTTAAAATTTTTCAAATGATCCCATTCTAATTGATCTTATAATATATCTTTCCTATGTGACACCGTTTATTGAAGTAATATTGAGCAAAAAAAAGAGTAATACTTAGCAAGTATAGTAATAAGAACAAATAATACATGCATTTTTTTATATAGCCACAAATAATCATTCATTTTATATTTGTTTTAAAAATAATTTCTTTTTAATAAACCCTTCCCAAGTGAGCTCAGTTATTGAAATACTATTGAGCATATCAATTAAATGAAACAAATTATATAAGCGTTTTATATAACCATAAAAAATTGTATACATTATATTTGTGTAAAAAAATTTATTTTTAGTCCCGCCAATTCCAAATTATCCCGTTCTAATTTATGTTGTAAAAAATTTTTCCCAAATGACCCCATTTATTGAAATACCACTGAGCATATCTAGTAATTGAAACATACGTGCATCTTATATTTCTGTTAAAAATTATTTATTTTAGTTGGACATTTTCAGATGATCCTATTTCAATTCGTCTTGTAATAAACCATTCCCAAGTGATCCCATTTATCGAACTATGTTGAGCATATTTCAATTACAATTTCAGAATTAAACTGGTTAAGACACAATATCTCCTTTTATATGTACTTTTTTTTTATGTCTCATGTTTTGGAGAATATCTCAATTACATTTTTTTAAATTAATCTGAATGAGACGTCAGTTCTCTTATATATATATATATATTTATATTTATATATATTTATATATATATATATATATATATCTCAAAAGAGTGATGCATAGCAATAAGCACTAAAATACTGTCAAGCTATTGAGTTTCAAAAACAAATCTTTGCCTTATTTGAAGGTTCTCGTATCAATTGGTGGGTTGACATGCCTTTACATCATATCCCATAAACCAATGTATACATATAAATGTCATCATTAACACTATTTTTTATCTTTTAAAAAACATATAAATCTTCTACGTCATCACTATTACTGAGACCTGGTTTTCACTTATATTAAGAAGTGTCATTTTCGTTGTTGATAAAAAAAATTTGAAAAAGTGATATGGTCGATAGTCCCGCAATACGTTATCAACTCAAGAGACAACACGTGAAGAATAATTGATATTATTTTTTCCCGTATAACGAACATAATTACTGTAGTTGCAAATCATTCAACCCAAATAAATCGCTGCAATAGTTGAAATTAGCCTACGTATTCCATGAGCTGAAAGTTTTTACTCAAACAGAAAGAAAAAAATAAAAGAAAATAAATGAGAGTAAGATATCAAGGTTAATACCTCTGACAGGGCAGAGGGTGTGTCGATAGCAAAATGGTGATGGGGATGGCTATATCCGGGCCATGCTAGAGGCAAAAGAGAGAATTTGAGACGCGGAAGAAATAAATTTACTTTAGTCAATGATTTTACATTCATCTTATTTATAGAGGAAGAGAAGCGTATTTAAAATAAGCATATAATTAATTAATGTAATATTTTATATGTTATCAATATCATATTTGATTTAGAAGATTAATTGTAGGGCATTAGAGAAGTTTAGAGATTTGAAAGATCTGATTCTGATATATATTTTTTGAATTTAAAATATTTGAAATTTTAAAATACCACAAAATATGCTAATTGATTACGTCAGCCGCGCGGATGTGGGGCTTAGTTTTATGATTCAGTCGATAATGACCACATTATTCATTTTTTTTCCAAAATAATGAAGTAAAAAATTTAAAAATAAATTTTGGATAAATGGATTTACTAAATTATTTTAACCGTTTAATGAAACTCAAACACGAAGGCGACATGCGTCCCGAAAATCTTTTGATGGTGTCCTTGGCTTGGATTAAGACCTAAACTCCACTTTCGTTTAATGTATTTAGAGATATAGGATTCATATTATAATATTAATTTACTAATTAATGAAAATATTTGTTCCTTATTTAGATTAATCATTATCAGAATTCGTGATTGTCTAAATAATTACCTTATTTAGCAATAAACTCCATTATGTGATACAATAAATAATGTATGGTAAAAGAATTTCACAATCAATGATGGTTACAAATTTAATTTAACCAAATTACGAATATTTTTTACTTTTTAACGAAAGATCAAATCGGAAACACTTGCGAATTCAAAGTCATTCCCACCGAATCGAAGATTATCAATATCTTCACAATCCCTCATCTGTGTTTGTCGAATAAAGTTAATTATGTACCGATATTTACACGGTACAAGCTTCTGAGATTTGTTCTTCAGAAAACATGAAAATTTGGAAATCTCCTTGCACTTCCCCTCAACAATGGAGTTGATAAATCGGGGAATTATCTCCTTTTTGGTAGATGCAGCGATTTTATTTCCCTATAAAACAAAAACATGACACTAATACTAGTTAACATAATTGTCAAATTAAAAAATAACTTTTCGAAAATTATCCTTCAATATCAAAAAAAAAAAAATGTCCATCCATCAAAAACATTTCCAAAGCAACAATTTGATCATCATCGTTTATGAGGAGTTTCTCCCAAACTCGTAAAATTCGCATCTTAATATTCTAACCGTAGCCAGTTGAACCATCAAGTTGAGCAATGGAATTCACCTTTGTCGACATAGCTGTTTTAGAGGACAAGTGATAGTGGCGTTATTTTTTCGAAAATTAGATTTAAAAAATTTGCTCATCTAATTCACGTATTTATAAGATGTAGAGGCGGCGACCAATTAGGGTTTAAAGTGTGATAAAAGTTATGTGAATAAAATCCTACCGAATCATTGCTTTAAAATTGACAATCATAATGCGGGAGTATAAGATATATACCTTATATAGAACACACACGATAATAATATAGATTTATTAAATATTTACCTTATTTAGAATAAGCTTACGTACAAATTTAAAAATAACGCGAAGTAAAAATATGGACGGTTATTAATTAATTTAACTAAGTTACAATTAATTTTTACACTTTAATGAAAGACTAATAAATTTATTCCATGTGGCACAATATTCCTACATTCACTCCCTGAACGACACGTCTTGATTGAAAACCTTACTTTAATATATATATATCTTACTATACTAGAAACAAAAACCACACTTAAGATAAAGCACCACCATTTGCCATGTGGCATTTCCACATCATATTTTTAAAATAAATTTTTATTTACACATCAGTTTCCTAGTCTTAAAAGGCAAATGCAGTCCAAATCCACCACCTCCTCCTATTTTCGCCAAAACAAAAAAAAAAAACACGACTTCATAAAAAACACAAATCTTCATCTCCATCTCCACGACAATCGACTCCCTTAGCAATCCCTTCTCCACAATAAAAAAAAAAAAATAAATTTCTCATCAATCATCAATTGAGAATACGTGGTGAAATATACTTATTTCCTATTAGCATGTTTAATCTTTTTATTAGTGATGATCAACTACATCCTAATCAGATAAAATTTCGACTTCAAAAAATATTCTCTTTACCTCTTTATATAAACACAAAGGAAAAAAAAATTCTCATTGATGTTGCTTTCGGCCGTTGTGGTGGTGCCGTTACAGATATTAAAATTTAAATGATTTTATATCCACAGATCATTTGTACGGCTTTTATTATTTTTTATTTTTCCCGTTCAAGAATAGTGTTATTTATATTATTTTTATGCGTCTACCCGTTACAGCTACCGTAACCGTTGCCAGGTAATATGATGTGATTTCCTATATGGTTAGTCAGCTTAGAATTTTTGTATGATTTTAGTTCTGTTTGAATTGAATTGATCAATTGGGTTTTTTCACAAAGTGTGGTTTTTTTAATTTATTTTTTATGTTTTATTCATTTAGAGTGGTTTTCCTTTTTTTAATTATGGAGTCTCAGTTTTTTTTCGTATATGGTCAGTTATGAATTGTGTTTTTTCTTTGTTTAATTGCTTTTGATTTTGTTTCATACTCCCAGTTGACCAATTATTATTATTATTATTATTATTATTATTATTATTATTTTTGCAAATGAAGCGCGTTTTTTTTTGTGTTCGGACTTTCAAGAATATGCTTTTTTGGATTTGGTTTTTGGACTTTTTAAAATTACTCATCATATAAATAGTTCAGGTCGCTTCTTCTAACTAATTTATGGGGAAGCCTTTTATGAATTGAGGTGGAGAGGGAAGGAATGATGTTTCTACGTTTATTTGTGTTTTTATACATCATTTTTACCTACAGGAAAAAAAAATTTCTCAATTTTTAATGGACTCTTTTACTTATTTTTTTTTATTTGCCATGGTGAGGTGAGTTCTTTTTTACTATAACTTGAAACCTATGCAAATTTACATTAATTTTCATTCTCATATTTGTTATCAACCAGTTTCAACAATTAATCAGTTTCAAAATCATATTTTTGATATTTTACTAGCTATAAGCCTTTAGAAGAAACAGTTCCAACAATTAAACGTATACCCTTCGGAGGAAGCTTACTACAAAGCTATTATAAATTTCCAAAACCAAGTATTGATTTGGCATGACAAATGGAGAACATCAATAAATAATCTTACTAATATTTAAACTTATTAGGATGCTTTTATATTTTGTCTAACATTTATTTCAAGAGATATACTTGATCAAGTTTATTTATATTTAATAAGTAACATTTCTAAAATCTTCAAACATTTCTAAAACGTACCGGGCCAAATACACTTTTTTTTTTTGCCAAATACAAACATTCCTATGATCACACTTATAAAATATTTTTAAATTCTTTAAACATTTCTAAAATATATCGGGTCAAATGCAAAATATTTTTTTTTCAAATACAAACATTTCTAAGATCTACAAATATATTGGGCCAGATTGCGCGACCAGACATCACTAGTATAGATAGATATAGATATAGATATAGATTTGTGTTGTTATCAAACTCCCAACCATGATATTGACAAATCATCTATTGTTTAAAATAATAAAATCACGTAACATGATCACTAAAAATTACTACAATTTTTTGAAAGAAATTATTACTATGGAGGAAAGGTAAATAGGAATATTACAATTTTGCCTCTAGATTTTACGAAATGCGCCATGAATGCATTACTATTGCAAAGCGCACTTCGTCCCTGCATTCCGTCTTATTCCTACAATTACGGCTGCTGCTTGAGGGAGCCTCTGAGGAAAGGAATCAGTGGGTGTCTGCTGCAAAATAAGATGAACCACAGTGGTTTAGATTCTGATGGTCGTGAGTTCAACAACTCCGACGAGATGTGGAGAGAACAAGTCGGTGACCAATCTAAGAAGACCGAGTGGTACACCAAGGGTGTTTCTTATTGGCAGGTATCTTCTTTTTTTTCTTCTTTTTTTGATACCATGAATTTTGTGGAATTTTTGGTTTTGTTTTGATGGGTTTTCTGTGGATTTTATTGTTGTGTTGTTGTTGCTGCTGCTATTTGTCTTTTTGTTGTTATTACTGATTGGAGGCTTTCGGGTGTTTTTGAAGAGAAGGGTGTAGAGGCAACAGTGGATGGGGTGCTCGGAGGATATGGACATGTGAATGATGCTGATATTAGGGGAAGTGAGGCATTCCTTAATACCCTTTTGTCTGAAAGGTTTCCTGAAACTAGCATGAGTCGCCATCTGGTTGCTCTTGGTACAAACTTTTATCCTTTTTGGATATTCTTGATCACTCTTTGTTAGGAAGAAGGTGTTTTGATATGAAAGCAAAGAGATGTACTCATGTTTTCTTCTTGTTTACAATGCTTTTCGTGAAAGGATTAGCTATTTGCATAGCTGGCTTAGTTTGAAAATCTACTGTTCTGTTTGATTGTTGGGAAGCATAGGGTTTGGGAATAGCCGAATAGGCTAAATATTGAATGTTCTGGTTTCATGAAGTTTTGTAACCTTAATTATGTTCTTAAATTGGTGCAGATTGTGGTTCAGGCATTGGAAGGGTCACTAAGAATCTGCTTATAAGATATTTTAATGAGGTGATCCTCACATTTTACTACGTTGTTTAATCTCATATGTGGTTCAGGCATTGGAAGGGTCACCAGGAAGGGTCACCATTCTTGTTCTGCTTAATCTCATATTGCTATGTTGTTTAACTGTGAACTTTTAGATTTGGTTGTTCAGGATGCATTATCATATTCTATATCATCATTTTAGTCCCAAATTTACAATATATTGTTGAGAGTTTCTTTGAACAGAGTTTGCAGATTGTCATTTTCCTGTGTTCATTCTCCTGGTTTGTAACATACGTTCTCCAAATCTCCAGTGCTGTGACAAATCACATTAATTTTTCCGGTTTAATCGTCAGGGTTGAATGTAACCTAGTGTCCTTCCTCACTTCCCTCTGTAATCATGATGTGTCAGATAGCTGAAATTTTGTCATTATTTTGAGGGAGTAGCATTTTGTCGTTTTTTTGAGGGAGTGGCATACGTCATATAATTTTAGCATTTTGTTGATCTAATTTTAGCAGGAACTCTGGATTTTGCATCTTCTCTTGAAGCACCTAAGGTTGCTTGTGAACTTTTTCCTTATGTTGATTCGTCCTTCTGATTCAGGTTGATCTTCAAGAACCTGTATCTCACTTCCTGGAGGCCGCTCGAGAAAATTTAGCTCCAGAAAATGTAACGGTCTCAGACTCACATAAGGCTGTCAATTTTTTCTGCCTTCCTCTTCAGGTTATAATTATATTCTTGTTACTCTTTATTCTTTTTGCTGTAATCAATGGTATCTGTTTCTGTTCACTTGATTATCAACTTATTCTGTTCCTAATATGAAATAATGATCCAAATTTAAATAACTTTACACTTAATTCATGGCTGGAATTTTTAGTGAAAATAGTGTTACTAATTTGTTCTTTCTTTTGCTTTTCAATTGCTTGTATTCTCAGAGTTTCGGGTTCTCGTATAGAAGTAAAGATTTTGAAATGCTATTTTTCTTTTCATCTCATGCAATTGCTAATGATACAAAGGGAGATTCGTAGAACTTCTGATTTGTTGTTGTGCCAACTTCATAAGGTCAAATGCAAGACTTGATTAGATATGATATCTTCGATCTTTTAGTTTAGTTACGGTATCCTAACAAGTCTGGACATTACTTTTTTTTGCGTTAAATGCTATAGACCATTTGGACTAATTTTTGTTTGGTGTGAATTTTGGAGAAATTTACTTTCTCTGCCAATTCTGGATCAGAAAGTGCCTGCAACAAATAAGCATATCATAAATTTAAATCATATTATATTTCTTCGGTAAGCACCAGAGTAGTCCTCATTGATGAGAAACTGAGAAGATAATGCTTAAGATAGTTTGAAATGTGCCTAGAAGAGCTTCAGATTTCCCAGTGTTGTTATGGTAAAACTATAAACTCATTGACTGAAATTTTGAAGAAAAGGGAAGAAATAAAAAGAGTTGGAAAGAAATTATCTCAAAGGACATGATTTGCTTGAAATTCAATGTAATATCTTTTGACAAAACACTAAAGGCTGATGGGTAGATATATGCATTATAGCAATTCAATACTTTATTTTACAATACGTCTTTTCTCAACTTTTGCTTCAGGACTTTACTCCAGATGTGCAAAGATATGATTGCATATGGATTCAATGGTGCATAGGGCATCTTTCTGACGAAGATCTTGTATCATTCTTTAAGCGGGCAAAGGTGATGAATACTTGATACCTTTTTTTCTTTTTTTTTGGGGGTAGTTGCAAGACATTCCTGCATTATTTTGGAACTTAAATGCTCAAGTTTTAACAGGCAAACATAGTTGCTGATCTTTCCCTTTTTCTCTTCCCGCAACACCATTTCAGATCATTATTAACTAGCCTTTTTTATCTTTTTATGCTTTTTTTTTTTGTTTATGCTGTCCTTGATTTGAATGAGATGGTTCAACTGCTTATGAATGCAGTTTCTTGTGGCCGTTTACTGTGCCCTAGTTTCTTGTTCGGAAAAGACACCAGTGTCTTTCCTTTTGGTGAAAAATGTGGAAAAAATATCTCTGATTGCAGAAAACACGAGGGCATACTATTCTTCTCTGTAGTACTGATGCCAAATATGTCCTCAATTTTTTCTTATTTTCTGGAGACTTTATCTGTAAACTGGGGCAAGCTGTCACCTTTGTTATAAATTGATTCATGAAGTTAGTGTTCTTCTATCTGATGGTTTATATTACTCTTTTCTGCTTTTGCTCCAGGCTGGCCTCAAACCTAATGGTTTTTTCGTTCTGAAGGAGAACATTGCTAGAAGTGGTACTGCTCTTAGTTCTTTTTTCTCCTCGCAAGTATAGTATTGTTTAACTAAATGAGACTTTTCGGATTTTTCTTTTTGGGGGTCATCCAAATTGTTCTCTGTATTATTTAAGAAGTAGAACACTTGAACTGGTACCGTGCAATTCTTTGCTCGTCCAGTTGTCCATCACATTGAATGTTTTGGACAGTTTATGTAAAATGCAAGTGCAGTTTTATGATTTGAACCTTCTATTGCAATACAAGTGCACTCTTTGCCTCTAAAATGGCTGGCATTTCAATGAGTAACGATGTACACAACTCTTAACTTAACAGTATGCATTTCTATTAGAGTTTGTTCTAGGGTGTCTAAAGCTTTGGATATAAAAATTAATTGGCATTGGCAGAAAGCAAAGGTTGGAGCAGAGTAGTCATAGTAATGGGCATTCAGTCTCACATTTCTCAATGCCAGCTGGTTACAGTTTTGATTTTGGCCTTCTCTGGAAGCCTTACAACAGGAAAAGGAAAATCATTCATGTAGCATGCTTAGAATCGAGTCAGGTTTATATGTCTTCTTCTTTTGATGAAAGCATGCCAGTAAACATTATTTTGTTTGTGATTTGATTCGTTTGTTAGTGCTTGTTGTCCGTTTATAAATTGATTGACTTGCTGTAAAATATTAAATCTTGTTTCAGTTATTTATGAATATTTGTGTCCTATTCAGTATATTATAAGTTTGAATCTATACATGAAACCTGTAGAATTTATTAAAACTGGAAGCCCTTGTGTTTCTCCCTTTTTTGTTGAAAGAATTTAAGATAAGTTTTCACTAACTTGAAAATGATAGCAACAGGAAGACAAAGTGATAACCTCATGCACTTGCAAATTGTAATTGCAGTTGATCCATTAAAATTCCATAATTAACAGACTCTGGTTGCAAGCAGTTACATTTCCCTGGGCCTTTTTTCCTCCAGTTAGGGTAGGAGCTATGTGATTCGCCAGAATTTTGTTGAAAGCTGATTGTATGAAATTCTCATGGAAATAAATTAGGGAAGATGTCAAAATTGGCAAGTATTAGTTAGGATTATGCAGTTCCTATTATATTGTGCGGCAGTGGGTTACAGTTTAGCAGTAATAGATGTTATCTGGGGATTTATTGCTAGTCTTGCTGTCGGTAAAAAGCGTAGTTGTATAAAACTTGGAAGTTTAAAACACAATATCCTGTCTTTGGTAGGGTTTGTGCTGGACAAAGAAGATAAGAGCATTACCAGATCTGATTCGTACTTCAAGGAGCTTTTCAACCAATGCGGACTTCATATTTGGAAAATGAAGGTATTTTCTTATGCTTCCACCATGGTTATTCTCATTTGAATAGGCTCCATCATAAGGTCTGGGAACTTGACTGAGGGATCTCTTTCAAATTAAAATACAATCGAATATCATTATCTGCATGTTTTCCCGATTCTCTATGTAATGCCTGCATCATGATATTTTTTTACCTGAATGTGATTTTCTTTGTCACCAATAACATATAAAAAGTCCAGCTAGTATCTTACGTCATAGGTTATCTCAGAGTTGCCTGGGCCTTGTTGGTGTTAGTAAGTTAAAAATATCAAATCACATGTTTGATTTGGAAGAATGATGCTCGGTCATGCATAATAAGGTAGTTGACCCTCAAATGCTGGCATGCCTTCATTCACAAAGAAAGCAAAAGTGAAACCCATATTCCTACACCTATTTTCCTGGGCAATGGTATTGGAGACTAATGTTTTTAAAATAATCCTTTGAAGTGAAAAATTACAAAGCTCTGGCTATGTTTAGGGTGATATCATTTATCTGTCAGGTTTGCCATTTGAAAGGTTTAAATAAATATATTTGTGTTAGAAGGTTTTACTGGTTTTGAGGAGGTGGCAGAGATGTGCCATCGGCAGAACTATTTCCTCCAGTTGAAATACTGAATCTTCTGTATTATACTCTTAAATATCATCAGTATTTCGCTGGAATATATCAAACTTTGGTGAACCATGTGCATTCACTTGTAAAGAATTTTCTGTTCAAGACATATTAATGTTACAAGTTTGTAATGCTTGATTCGTGCAGGATCAGAGTGGTTTTCCTGATGAACTATTTGCGGTGAAGATGTATGCATTGGTTACTGAGATGCCAAAGAGAGCTACAAGATCCAGCATGAGGAGGTCAAGAAACAGGCCTGGCCTCATTAAGTGAGGATCATCAATTCTTTGTTGCTGCCTATTGCTAATTGCATTCTTCTCATGAGTCATAATCAGATTTGGAATGAGGGCGGACCATAGAATTCAGCCAACCCGTTCCCGGGGCGTAAGTTCTGTCCTGGAAACATTTCTCCCCAGCCCAGTGTAAGGTTTCTGACAGTATAATCTATTCCAGGGGCTATCTATTCCACTGGTATGATGAGCAAGGCTTCTGACAGTATTATTTGTTGAGTTTCATCTGAAATAGAAGCTTATGCTTCTCGTATGCGAGCAGAGTGTATGATGTATTATTATGATAACATTATGAAATTGACTTTCATTTGGAATAGTGGTTTTGTTGGTTGATGTTGTATCATAGTTTGCTTAGGAAGAGTAGCGTTGGGACAAAGTTTTTGTCCAGATAATTAGCTCAGAACACAATTCTATTCTGTTACGCGAGGAAGAACTTGGTTCAAGAATTATTGCTCTTTTCTGTTGATTTGTGAGAAAGCTGGAAGTTGAGGAAGAACTTGATTCAAGAATTCTTGCTCCTTTTCTGTATCAAGAGTCACTGCATCTTCAGTTGAAACAATAAGAGAATAAACCAAATATCACAGAATACACTCCTATCCATGCTCATATATAGCTTTCGAGACCTCAATGCTGGTCTCATGAACTTGGGAAAGGTTGATTTCATCCAACACTTCAGCTTCATTTCATCCAACACTAGATCTACATCCAAAAATTAATACCGACTAAAATTGGGCCAAAACTCTGTCATGATTCTCTTGCAATACATCAAAACATGTCCTTTTTTTTTTTTTTTTTTTTGAGAGAGATTTGGTACTTGAGACCTGTATTTTCTAACAATTTAAATGAGATTAAATACGCTACGCCGAGAATCTGATAAAAAATTTCAAGAAAAACTAATACTTTCATGGTCTCTCCACAACTCGATTTGAAAATGAAAACATCGTGCCGCCTCAGGAGAGTATCTAATTTCCTTGTCTTTAGATAATGCCCCCATTCCATAAAGTGGTGGACGAACATAATGGGGCATTATTCCACTGAACTTTAAAGTGAATAAAGAAATAATTGGAAATTAGTAAGTGTGTGTTATTCAGGGGGAAAAAAAAAACAAAAAAAAAGAAAAAAAACCGTACCGTGAATTCCAGTTGAACTATAATTTGTGCCACTCCATCAAGATCTCGTTTACCTACTACCACCACTGCCGTTCCCCCCTTAGAGCAAACCAACAGTTATAGACGTTATTAATACGATAGCTCTGTTTTCAGAGATCTAAATATCTAATTACCCTGCCTCAAATTGGCATATATATAGAACGAAAAATTCTTCACGAATCTGAGTTGGAAAGCCTTAGATCAAGCCTGCAAAACTCATATCTGTTGTAACCCCGAAGCTAATCCCTACAAGTCTTGAACCCGGCTGTATGTATGCTTTCACTATTTTTTATTTCTTATTTTTTGTAGGCTTTCAATGAAATGCAGATCAAGGGAAATGCTGTAAAATGAAAATATCCCTATCTAGTGTTATCTTGATCTTTAAGGCAACAAGGACAACAAATAGCCTAACAAATAGACTACTTGGTCTTCAATCCAAATGGGCCTTGGTTTGAGAACAGATACAGTCTGACAAAATATAGTAAATTATTATCGTAAGACATTCAATAATAATCGATTATTCACTCTGTCTCGAAAATATTATCCAGTTTAGATTTTTAACTAAATATGAATTTTGAGACATAGGGAGTAAATAGTTTCAAATTTGATAAACAATTGAGAAGTTTCGGAATGGAGAATAATTAAGATAAACAATTGAGAAATTTTGAAATTGGGAATAATTAAAGATTTCACCTATTTTTAGCATAATAATAGTGAAGATTTTTTAGGTCATGAGTTTACCCATCTCTGATGGGGTTCCTCTAGTAACAAGACTCTGTCTCTACTTGTAATTAGACATTAGCTCATAACTTATTAGGGCACCACAAAAGAGAAAAAAAAACATAAATACCGTTACACGCACGGCCCCCCAAATTTTTCTCTCTCTTGCCGTCTCTTCCTCACACTCTTCTCGGCCCCACTTCTGTTTTTCTTTTATTTTTTTAGTTTTCTCCTATTTTTTTCAAATGATCATATCATTCAATATATAAATAATTAAAAAACGTACTATATATCAAATTAATCTACGCAACGAGATCTTGCCATTAAGATCCATTGTTATATTTTTTAAGTTAAAAATTTTATTAGAATTCATGTATAAAAACAATGTATATGTTGTTTAATTATTATGTATATGGAAAAAGTAAATTGTCATTTCCTTTATTTTTGTTTAATCCTTCACAATTTAAAAAATTCTGCATTCAAATTTAAATTTTTAGTTTTAATTTTAATTTATGTCAAACTTTAAATACTTTAATTAAGTTAACGACTCATAAATTTGATAAAATCATTTTAAATCAAATTCAAATTTATCATTACAATCAAAACTAAAGTCATATACAGAGTAGTATACCTTTATAAACCTATTTGTATGTCTTCATATACATTTTCGTATATGTTCATATATTCTTCCTTGCTTTTATATATTGGATATCTTCATATACATTTTCATATGCCTTTATATACATATCTACATATCTTTAGATACATTATCGTATGTCTTCATATACATTCTTGTATACCTTCATATACATTTTTACATGTCTCCATATATAAGGTAATGTGTGCCTTCATTAAGATATTGTAAAACCTAATTGAAATACTTAAACCCTAAAAGTGCCTAACCTAATTGAAATGCTTAAACCCTAGACCCTAACCTAATTGAAATGCTTAAACTCCCTAAACCCTAAACCCTAACCTAATAGAAACCCTAAACCCTAAATCCTAAGCACGACATCTTAACCTAATTGAAATGCTTAAACCCTAAACCTGATTGATACCCTAAACCCTAAATCTAATCAAAATCCTAAACCCTAAACCCCTAACCCTAAACACTAGACCCTAATTTAATGAAAATGCTTAAACCCTAAACCCTAAACCCTAATTAAAACCCTAAACCCTAAACACTAGACCCTAACCTAATGGAAATGCTTAAACCCTAAACCCTAAATCTTAAACACGAGATCCTAACCTAATTGAAATGCTTAAACCCTAACGTATGCTCAATGAAGACACATATCTTAATGTAGACAAATTACAGCATACAAAAATGAGAAATTACAGCATACAAAAATGTATACGAAGGCTTACGTGAATGTATATGAAGACATACGGTAATGCATATAAAAATATGTATATATGTTTATAAAGGCACATGAAAATGTATACTAAGATATCTAAATATATAAAAGTAGGCAAGAATGCATATGCATGTATACGAAAATGTATATAAAAATAATTGATATCGTATGTTTCCATATACATTTTTGTATACCTTCGTATACATAGGATATGAAGACATGCGAAATATATACGAAGGCATATGAGATGTATATGAAGGCCTACGAAAATGTATATGAAGACATACATGTATATAAAAGTATGCGTCAATGTATATGAAGGCATGCAAAAATATATATGGAGACATTAATGTATATAAAAGCATGCGACAATGTATACGAAGGCCTACTAGATGTATATGAACACATACACATGTATACGAAGGCATACTAATATGAATATTGAGAAATGTAAAGATGTTTATATATAGAGAGATATACGATTATGTATAGAGTGTAATAATAAATTTATAACAAAATTTTTTTTGACATAAATAAAAATAGCAATTACAAATTTAAATTTGAATGATGAAATTCAAATAGTTAAAAAGGAAAGAAATGTGATATAAAAGTATTATTTTACTAAAAGAATAAATTAAATTCTTATACAATTAAATATGAATAATTTTTGGAAAAAATTAAAATATATTAAATATAAACAAATAATAAAAAATTACAAAAAAAATATAATTAGTGAAGAATAAATAAAAAAAGAAAAGAAATAATAATTTACTTTTTCATATACATAATAGTTAAACAACATATATACACAATTGTTAAAGTGTATATACATTGGTTTTAGTATATAAATTTGGATAAAATTATTAAATCCAAAAATATTAACAATGATCTTGATAGAAAGATCTCGTCGTGTAGATTAATTTGATATATAACACGTTGTCTAATTATTTATATATTAAAAGATATGATTGTTTGAAAAAATTGATAAAAAGTCAAAAAAGAAAAATCAAAATTTAAAGTGAGGAGCTCCGCTTTTGCGAAAGCTCACTCTCCCAGCCTTGCATGTGTTACACGCGCCCTACTATGGATAGCTTCCTTTACCCATGGTTGAGGCAGGGTCCTTTTTGCAGGGTTTCCGCGTTATAAAACAAAAAAAAGAAAAATAGTGAAGATTTTGGAAAGATCTTGTGAGTCGATGGCTGCTAAGAGAAATTTTATTGGTTGAACCGACAACAAAGGCCTAATAGATTGAGTAATATCTCTTTGTTTCAAACAGTCCTTAGACTACACAATTGATGTTTCCTATTAAGATGTAAGAAGTATCAACAGATAAAGTCCACAATATTGTACGGTTTATTTTCTAATATTATTTTTTTCATAGATATTTTAGATGTATTTTTTAACATATCAAATTTTGATGCAAATTTTATATTCCTTAGACCTAAAAAGATATTTCATTCTTATACCAGAGGATATGAACTTTTTATTTTGCGGAGGAAGAAGTGGACTGTCGGAGCAGATAATCCATGAGGGAGTTGTTCAATGGAAGATTCGAAATGCAAGAGTGGCACAAAAAAAAGCACAAAGTATGTCAGCTGAATGAGCGTATATAACTACTCCGGTACTTAATATAAGATATTTTGATTTTATCTTATATATCTTTGAATAACATAGAACGTATACAGGGAAGCTGCTATCTTTAATTTGAGAGCTACAACGGTGTAAATTGGGCTGATATTTGCAGCTCAAATTGCATTCCAAATGCTTATAAAATCTTATTTTATTTTTTATTTTATTTTTTGGCTAAATGTGACAAAATTTGTCTAATTTGAAGATGAGAAGTTAACAAGACATATTATTGTACCGCTAATTGTGCGCAAACAACCTTTTTCTTCTGAAGAACCTCCTTGATTTCACCACTAGCTCTCATATTACTTCCAAATTCCGAATGCATACGAAGTCACTCGAGTCCCGATGTATCCTTCCTTGTCAATGAATAATTTTACAATCAGTTTAAAAGAATCATTACCAATCAATGCCATCTCGCTTGACCTAAAATAAATAAATAAATTCTTTCCGTTCCAAAATTATTATCCATTTTAAATTTTTCATTTTTATTAAAATTGAACTAAAAGTAAAAATTTCAAACTGTATAATAATTTCGGAAGGAGTATGAAACTCAATACAATGACTCTTGCTTTAGAAAGCTTTCATAGGATACATCTCTTTTGTGATGACGGCACTAAATAATTCACCAACTACATAATGGGATTGTCCAACATGGTTAATTTTGCCAATTAGATTTAAGATCTTAAAAAATTTAAGGAACTTATTTCATAGTAAAGCTTATAAAAAGGTAAAACTCACACCTACAAACGACGACTTTAGAACACTCTGCTAAACCCAAAAAGTATCCTTTTACTCAAATGTATCTGAACAAGTGAAAAAGTTAGAAAATATATTGTGAGGAGATAGCTTGGATTTTTATTTTATTGGTTAATACTTTATAGGTGTTAGCTTGTTTCTAGAGCAACAACATCAAAGGGCCTAAATCCTTATAGGATCCACAACTTGGTCTTCTTTCTAAATTTTGGACTACGCACGTGATGCGTGAAAATGTATTCCATCTGTCCCAAAATTATTGTTCACTTTGAGATTTTATTTTTAATATATTTTAAATCAAAAAATGAAAACTCAAATTAGACCATAACTATGAGATGCAAAGAGAAATAAAGTACCACGATATCAAGTGCAAAATATCTTAATAAAGTACCACGATATCACTTTTAGTCTAATTCTTTTTCCCATTGTTTTCCATGCAGTTTTTTTTTTTTCCTTAAAAAGACAAATTGACACAACACAAATAGTATGTTATTCTCTTTGACCAAACAAAATAGTTACTCTCTCTATTTCAAAATGTAAGTTATTTTAAATTTTATACGTAAATTAAAGAGACAATCATTCAACAATTAAATTTTGTGTTAAATATCTGTTTTAACCCTCATCAATTACATTGGAACTATAAGCAAAACTAAATAAAAATGAATTAACATTATTTTTTGAGGAAGAAGTTAGAAAAATAGTCATTAATTTACCTTCAAATACTAAAACAACTTACATTTTGAAAAATTTCTCCAAGTCTAAAACAACTTACATTTTGACATGGAGGGATTTAAATTATTCCCCAAGACTCTCTGAACTTTTAAAAAAAGGTAAAGAGAACTATTTTTTTTTTTTTTTATGAATATGCACTTTTTAAATTTTAATTTTCTACATACTTCTAAAACAATAATAAGCTCAATGTCTGTCTGGCGCATACCCACACAGAGACAATTCAATAACTGAAGGATTGAATTGATACAGAAATGTCATAAGTGCTAGATTAGGGTATGTATTAGAGTTGAATATTGTTTTGGGAGTTTGTGAAATGATATAAGGGTATTATAGATCAATCATTCCTCTAGCTGATATTTCAAAAGAATGTTAGAAACCCTTCATCAAATAACGACATAAAATCAGAAACTTTGATTGAAGTGAAAAGTGTTTTTTTCTTTTCCATAGAATATATGTAAGGCATCATTTTGAGACGTGATGAATAAGAAGTTACAGTCTTGAAAAACCAAACACAAAACTAGAAGAAGAAATAATTATACAATTCCCAACATCATTAGATCTGAAAGTGAGAAAACAAGCTAATTTTACTCTTAATACAACAACAATCTCATTGTTATTCCGAATCTCAGTGTAATTCCCTTCCCAATTGTACTTTGAAGATTTGTAAGAGAGAGAACCTCCCATGAATTCAGACGGAGACGGAGAAAGGACTCGATTATAAGTTGCTTTACCAAATCCAGATTTAAAGAAATGTACTGGCTTTTCTTCCTCTTAATAAGGACAATCAGCTGATTCTGGCGCTTCATAATCCAGATCTGGAGTTTGTAAAATTCATCTCTTCGATGATGGAATTTAAAAGGCTTAGATAAAGACCCTTTTTCGACCATATTTCAGATCAAGCCTTCGAAAAACCTAGAAGAAGCACTCAAACAAAACAGCAAAAGAAGTGGAATTGTTAAGAAGTCATGTTCGGCGGTAGCCAAACTGAATTTTTATAGATGATTGGTTTAGGGCAAGGATATATATATATATATATATATATATATATATAGATGATTGGTTTAGGGCAAGGATATATATATATATATATATAGTAAAGACCTAGCTTGGCTAGTGTAGTACATAAGTGTCCAAATCATTTTTCTTTTTCTCATTGTTTTTCATGCATATTTCATGTTTATTTTTTATATATTCAATGCAACTATAGATTCTCGTGGACTCAGAAAATAGCTAGCTTTAATTCTCTACAAACTCTAGAACTTTCACAGAAAAACTAATGCTTTTTTTTTCTCTTTTTTTTTAGGAAGAATATTGGATATTATTCTATCATCATTTCAAGACTGAAGGCTTCAGAGTTGAATCTCGATCGCTAATTAATTCCTAATTAAGAGATAGGATCCTTGCGTTAAAAGTAAAGAACAAAACGTTAATTCCCCCAAAAAAAAAAAGCGAGTGGGGGCGGGTGCAACAAGAGGTTCTTAGTCAAATTTTGTGACGTGTTAGTGTGTTACAATTATTGCAAGACAAATTTTATGATGGATGAACTATATTTTATGGGAAGTTCATATAAAGTATGTGCCGAGAGAGGCTAACCGATTAGCCGATTCTTTAGCTAATTTAGGACATTCATTCCCAGTAGAAATCCATCTTCTGGCTAATTTCCCATCGGGGGTTGGCGAGATCCTTTGTAGGGATATGGAAGGACACTCATTCTCCTGAGTAGAGACCCATGTAGTTCTCAAGCTTTTGCTTCTCTATTATATATATAAAAAAAAAAATTATGATGGATGAACTATATTTTAACTCCCGAGGTTTGTTCCAAATTTTGTGACATGTTACCATAAATTTCGCGAGTTTTGATAAAAAAAAAATCATATATCTCATGAGCAAGGATTAAAATTTTAAAATGACTGAAATGACCGTAGTTTACACATTTATATACATTTCTTTCTCTTTTTTTATCATTAAAAATAAATATTGCTTAATTTGTCATTTTCACATCTAATTTTAATATAAGTTATTAACAAATAAAAGCTAATCCATGATAAATAATAAGTATAATTTTATTATACTTTCCACAAAAAAAAAAATAAAAAATACTCCATCCGTCCCAAAAAAAAGTTCACATTGAATTTCGATATTTTTATTAGTTTTAGTGAAAATTTAAAAACTCAGTTTGAATTATTTTTGCTGGAGGGAGGGAGTATAAGTTGATTAATGAAAATTATTTTACTTCAAATAATTTGAGGAAAAGTGTATGTTTTGTCTCACTATCGCGCCTTAAGTTGACTGGAGAATCAAAAAATTTGCAGTTTCTAAATTGGACAAAACACATTTTTGGTCCCCCAAGTTTAAGGGGTGACAAGTTCGAGTCACCATATATTTTTAATTGACAAAAATAGTCCTTTAAAATGTTTTTTCCATTAATTTTAGTCAAATTGATAGAATTTTTTGGGACTTAACGCAAGATGCCTACTTTTCGTTAATTTCTGATTTCTATATTAAATTTTCATTCTGTTTGCAGGACCCACAAAGTTTTAACCTGAAAAAAAAAATTTTATTTCTAAAAAAAATTATGGGGGACATTTGGAGATCCGAAAGATGATGAGTCATCTTCTTCTGAGTGTTCTTGGGGATGAAGTGGCTGGTCATCAAGGTCGTCCCAAGGGGAGGTGTTGATATGCTTCTTGGTTGAGATATAGTGGTTGTTGGTGGCGGGATGAACCGGTGAGGTGGTGGTTGGGTGAATATAGGGGAGAAGAAACTGACGGAGGGCGTCGATCTTTGGCATTTTAGAATTTTCGGTATCAAGATTTTAGGATAAAGGGTGTCAGTTTGGAACTCCAAGAAGAAGGAGATGGATAATTAATTTAGAAGTGGAAGAGGCTTTCGAATTATTCAAAGAAAGAATCTTTCTTTCTTTTTACCTCTGGGGAGTGAAAAGAAGAACGCCAGGGGAGGAGGAAATGATGATTGGGAATTTGGAAGGAGATATATACTCCTTTTGTCCCAAAATTATTGTCCACTTTGAGATTTCACTTTTAGTACAATTTAAACTAAAAATAAAAATTCAAATTGGACAATAATTTTGGGACTGAGGGAGTAATAAGGAAGAAACTAAAAAATTAAAACCCCCAATACGACGTGGTCGTATTGGGGGTATCTGTGAATTTATATGCAGAAACTAAAAAATGAGGGAAAAAAAAAAGGCGGGAGAGACTGAGACAGAGGGTTTTAATTCATCAATCTTTATGCTCCGGGTTCAAGATTTAACCCCTATAAATGTAGAGCAAATTCATAGAGTTGAGTTTTATTATAATGGGATAATCAGCCAGTGTCCGTTAACTCCATAAGCACATTTCATTTTATTCAATACTAGTAATTTGGTACTACTCAATAATCTCACTACTCATGAACAAGAGCTTGATTTTTTTTAATTTTTTTTTTATTTTATTTCACAGCAAACTCAAAATCATTGAAACACAATATATATAGGTAGTACTTTCTCCGTTCCACAAAAATAGTCCAATTTTAAAATGTCAACTCTTCAAGTTACAATCCATTATTATTCCATGAACTTCCAATTTTACCCCCGATTTAAAATGTATTCAGCAAATCTGATTCCCGTCTGATTCACGTTTCTCTCCCTTTGATCTCCCGACGCCGGCAAGCAAATGAATCTCCATCAGATTTTGGTTTTCCTTAAAATATTCCCCATCAGATCTGATCTGATCTCCAAATGAATCTCCATCAGATCTGATTTTGGTTATCCTTATAATATCCCCCGTTTGATGGAGTTTCCCGTTTCCCATTAGATCAAATGAGTCTCCAAAATTCTGAAAATCAGACGCTCTACGGGATCCATCAGAGAGTTATGGATCTTCACGTCTGGGAAACAGTTGAAAAGAGTCGCAGATCAAATAGAGCGAAAAGCATTCGAAGATGCATCCTCCAATTGCTGGCTACTGGAAAAGATTTGGAAGCTTTTGAGCGAAATAGAAGATCTTCATCTACTGATGGACCCGAACAATTTTTTCAGTTTGAAGGACATCAAAGCAACGTCGGAAGCGATTTGTTATGTTTTCGGTTGAGGGGGCTCATTGAAATTACAAAATTCTTCAAGGATCTGAGGCATAAACATCCATTTTGGATGTACTCGACCCCAAGGGTTGAAGGATACACGAGGCGGAAATGGATTTGTACAAGAAGAGGCGCGGTGGTTTGGTTACGACCGGATTCCTCTGCTTCAGGCGTTGCAGGCGGAGGAGACGACGGTGAGGAAGAAATCGAGAGAAGGGGCGGATGAGTTGGGGCCCCCCATACAAGCTATGTAATTATGCTTAATTGTGAAGGATGTTATAGTCATTTCAATTATATTTTATTTTGACTTTTTTAAACTGGACTATTTTTTCGTAATAAAATTATTTATTAAACTAGACTATTTTTATGGGACAGCGAGAGTAAATAGGGCAAATTATCTGGTACATCCCGGGCACCGTATACCCCCTGCGCGTGTAATTTACTCTCTTAGAATAGTGTGAGTTCGTTAGATAATTCATCCTTTTTTTTCTTTTTTTTTTAAACGCGTGTGGATAACCAGTGTTCACCATGTGGATAACCAGTGTTGGCACTATGGATAACCAGTTACACACAGTTGGATAACCATTATTAACCTGTTAGATAACCAGTATGCACATTATGGATAACCAGTTACACACAGCTGGATAACCAGTTGCTAAATTTCATTTTTTTTCCTTTTATATTTTTCTTGGATATCCTTGTCCGTATTTTTACACTGTTTATCCAGCTGTCCCTCATTCATTTTTTGTTCCCCATCATTTGGCAAACTTCCCCTCATTCAATTAAATACTATTTATGAAATTTGTCATGTTCGGCATGAGGACGGCACAGCCGCGGGCACCGGCGCAGCCGGGTCGTTTAGTTTATCACGGGGGATTTATACAAGTAATTTGTGCCCTCTCTTAACGCAATAACACACTTTCCTTACACACACACGAAAAAAGGATTACTTTAGCTACATTGGCGTGTTCGGCGGGGCGGCGCAGCCGGGACAGATTGGTGACCTGCGATTCCGGTAGCCGCGGAAGTCGTTTAGTTTATCATGGGGGGCGAAGCCCCCCAATTAACATGTCGTGCTGGTTATCCACAAGTTGTAAACTGGTTATCGAGAAGATGTAAACTGATTATCCAATGGTCTGTATTGATTATTCAGGACTTTTGTACTGGTTATCCAGCCAATGTCCAGCAATATCCAACCGTTTGTAATGGTTATCCAGGATCATTGTACTAGTTATCCAACTTATTACACTGAGTATCCGAATGTTTTATAGTGATTATCCAGTAAAAAAAAATGCAAGTACAACATTTAATGTAAAGGTGAAAAATGTTAAGCGCGTGTAACGCGTGTGTTTAGTGGGGGTATACAGTATACCCGGGTGCACTGGATATGGACTCAAACCGTAAATAGTAATGCCGGAATTATTATGGATGGAGAATAAATAAATAAGCACCTTAATTATTTGTTAAATATTTTTCAAGGACATTTGGGTTTTCCCTTGGAGTTCTTCTAATTGTCTCTGTAATAAGGGCATTCGTGCTTATTGCCATAAGTTCCAGAAGACACGCAATTGCAGTCTCTGCAACAAATTCCACAATATTTCAAGCACCTATCCATCACTCCTGCCTTTGAGCACCTCACAGCACATTTTGAATCGCAAAAATCTTCATCCAAAAAAAAAAAAAACATACAACATTAATCAATATAAGATCCTCTAAAAATCACTTGCAAATAGAACTCAAAAAACAGAGGATAAAATAACCGGGGATGAGAAAAATAGCCACAGCATGAATGCATGCATCAATTGAAATCGGTTAAATCCTATAGATCACATTAATAACATTAAAAGGGTCATCAGGGATCTTAATTACCTGAACCAGCCATTTTGATTGGAATCAGAGAAGAGTTTATCACAATTGCCATGAGAAGCAAAATAGCAAAGGCTACTTCGCCCTCCGTCGGTTTCTTCTCCCCTGTATCCACCCAACCACCACCTCACCGGTTCATCCCGCCACCAACAACCACCATGTCTCCACCAAGAAGCGTATCAGCACCTCCCTCCGAGATGACCTCGATGACCAGCCAATTCATCCCCAAGAACACCCAGAACAAAAAGACTCATCAACTTTAATTTCTTCCACCATGCATGCCGATCAGTAACCCCTACTAACCAATCTGAATCTTTTTTTGGGAGAAAATTAAAACCAAAATTTTGTCCCGAAAATGTACTATGACATGATACAACTCTGAACACTATTGAAACTGGAAGAAAATATGTAGATATTGTACCCTCTGGAACAAAAGACTCTTCCCCTATGCAAAATGTATTGGTTGAAAGTAAATGAACAGTGTGGTAAGAAATTGGGAGATCTAGGCCAATTGTTCTTCGAGGAAGTTGTGTTTGATATTGACAGCACCATGAAAGCACCAAAACAAGGGTACCAAATAGGTTCCATAAAACAGAAAATACCAGTATTGTAGTTTTAGAAATTGAGTCGAATCGTAGCCAAAGCCATGTACTCAATTATTTGAGTGAATGACAAAGATGTAATGAAGTAAACTATTTTAGTGATAACAAAGATGTGATTTTACAACTATTGTATATGTGCTCTCTACAATTTCGTGAATCTTAGAAGTTAAAACGAATTGAAACTCGTACTGGCTGGCTTCACATCCCTCTAATATGCTTCGTTCTTGGAGGAAAAGGAGAATTTCGACCCTCCAATCAATAGAACATTTTGATGCTTATATTAAAGTTGTATTACCAAATCCTGATAAGCGGTTGTAATGAAATGACTCGTTCATCTCAAACCAATCCACAGTCTTGTGTGCCTCCCCCATCAAGATATCCTTCAGCTACCTAAGCCATTCTACTCGGAGATATTACCCAATGTTACGTACCATAATCATAATCAACCCGGAATAAAAAGGGAAAAAAAAAAGATTAAAACCCGACGGATTTGTAAAGCTAAGATGTCTCCAATCTGGACAAGCTCGTATCATATGGCTTCCCAAACTTGACTAAGAAAACAGAACAAATTTTACATGAATCTAGACTTATTTGTGAGATCCGTCAGAATTAGTAACATCTCCCATTGAATTTAAAGCATCAAGACCATTGAAGTCCACCAAAGCTTACAACAAAAGTTTAACAACACTCACAAATCAGAAGAACACTTCTTAACCCTATAAAATATTACTGAAGAAGTGAAAATGTTAACAAGACATTTTGAGGCGGTGGCTGCCGAAGGGAATTGTGGCTTTTAACGGGGTTAGGGCCGGAAAGGTAACAATGGGCCTAATAGGTTTGAGTTCTTGGTCTTCTTTCTAGATGGGCCTAGGTTTAGTAAAGTTGTCAGGTACCGGAAAGTCACCGGAAAATGATAGCGGCGGCCGGAATTTAGAAAAAATATTGTAATGGAAAAGAAGTATAGAAAAATCAAGAAGGAAGGAGAAGAACTGAATTCTTATTCATTTAATCGATAAAAAAAAAAACTGAATTGTTACTAGGGCTGTCGATTATTCGGGTCAACTCGACCACCCGCCCGAGCCGAATGGAAAATGGGGCGTTCAGTTCGCCTATTCGGGGCATTTCGGGGTAATTCAAGTACACCCGACCACCAGATAATTTAAACGGTGCGGGTACAGGTGAAGAAAAAGTAGTTTGGGCTCCGCCCGACAAACCGATTTTTAATTAATTTTTTTAATTTTTTTATATGCATATATATATATATATGAATGAGATTAGGGTTTCCCCTCATTTCTTCCTCCGATTTTCTCTCTCTTCCTCCTCTCTCCTTCTCTCTCTTCCTCTCTTCACTCTCTAGTTTCAACTTTCAACCTCGACGGCAGAAAAGGTCAACAATCGCCACCGACGGCTATTCCCCCTTTTCACCTCTGTTAATCCATCGATCTAACTATCAATTATTCCAAATCTGTCATATATCTCCAAAAAAAATCCATCAAAACTTTCACTTAGGGTTTCCTTCCAGATCAGGGCCATCGAATCGATTAGGGTTGATGGGATTATGAGATTAGGGTTTGAACTTTTAGATTGGGGAATTGGGATTTAGTTGAGCCGTCAAAATTTACAAACTAGTTGAAGAATTGTTCTTTTTACTGTTCCTTTGTCCCATAATTCTACTAATTTTTAACCTTTCATATTTTTCCTCTTTATTATTTTGTCAAAAATTGATTTCTTGGATTTTAAGTAGAACCCATTCTTTTGCGTAATTCTTTTGAAACAAAGCAGCTCGTACATCTGTGTTTCTAGATTCGCTAATTTCAATTTTTGTTTATTCGGAATTTTTTTCTGGGTCGATTTTGCTTGATTTAAGCTGTTTGATGCTGTAAAAAGGGGGAAAAGAATAGTTTTTTTTTTTCTTCCGCAAGTTGCCAAAGTGGGAAAGTAGAAATTGCCCTTTCTCTTTTGTTGTTGAAAATAATGAAACTATTTTTTTGTGATCCCTTTTATCTTTGTTCAGCTCAATTAATAGAATTCCAGATCGAAAGTTCCTAATTTTTCATGAATTTGAGTTTTGGACCAGTAGTGCTTTTTAAAATTTGATAGCTATGCAATTTTGTGCAATTGTACAATTTTTAGTCTTTTACTTTTTATTACTAATCACATTTCTCTTCCTTTTTGGGTCTATGTGGTTGGGTTGCTGCAATGATTGTGGAAGCCATTGCTGCCCTGAAGCAAAAAGAATGGGCAAACAAGTCAGCCATATCCAAAACCATAGAATCCAAGTATGGAGAAGTGCTGCAATGCTGTTCCAAATTGCTGCAATGCTGTTCCAAATTGCTGCAATGCTGCTTGTTGAACTGTTGAGCACTTTGCACTTGAAGAATGAAGACTGAAGTTGCAGATTGAAGTTGCCTATTTCATTCTGTTATGATTTCAGTTTCTGAAATGAAACTTGAATTTGTTTGAAATTTCTGTTCTGAATCTTCTGATTTTAGACTTTGAATTTGTAGTTTGAATTTTAGACTTTGAAGCTTGATTTTGTGTCATCTGTGTTGTTGAACTTGAACTTAAATGTGATGTAATATTTCAGAGATTCCGTATTAAAATTTTCAGTTCAGGTGTGCACTGCTGCACTCAGCACTGCAAATATTGAAATGCTGAGTGTTGAATTAAAGTATTGAAATGTAGCAGAAATGCAAATGGTCCTTGTTATTTGTTCTGGATTTTTTTTTGGTTCAATATTGAATTCGGTTGAACCGGATACCGAACTGAAAAACCGATTACTTATTCGGTTCGGTTCAGTTCGGTGGAATTAATTTTACGGTTCGGTTTCGGATGGTTCCTATAAGAGTAAAAAACCGATTAAACCGAACCGAATTTCGACCGAACCGCCCGAACTGACAGCCCTGATTGTTACAACTGCGATTTATTAATACTAATGACAGCCAATCATTTCCATAAT